TGAGTGGGGACATGCATGGGAGGACATGCGCTGGGAGATGCAGGCATGGGGACACATGTGGGCGACATGGAGGACCACAGATGGAGGGGTGGGGGATGCAGGCTGGGGACACGGGCTGGGGGACCTTGGTCAGGGGAAGGCAGGGTGGGGGATGCAGGATGGGGACAAGCGTGGAGGGACGTGGGCTGGGGAATGCGGGCTGAGGACATGAGCAGGGGGTGCATCCTGGGCTCAGCATCTTGTAATTACAGAAATGACCTCATTTTTCCCCTTTTTTAAAAAAATGTTCTCTGGCATTTCTTGTATCTTAAGCTTCATTACAAGTCAGCGTTAACAGCCAAGAGCGGCTCAACCACCTCCTTTATACCTCTCATTGAAGACAGATGGACTTGCAAAGTTTTGACACAACAAATTTTCCAAACTTCCACTTCAAATCGTCCTTCTGCATTGCAAGGGTGGGAAATCCTTCATTGCTCGGTGTGATTAATGCCCTTTTCTCCTAAATGCAGAATCTCTTTCAGGTTTTACTGAAGCATCGAGAATCATCTACTCCGAAGTTACAGTGCCGAGGCGGCTGGAGGCAAAGGACGGGACCTTCAGAGAGGTCATCTGCTTTTTAGGAAACGCTTTTTTGACGACGGCTCTAGACCATGGCCTCTGCAGGGGCGGTGGGTGGGTGCCGAAGGGAGAATGGGGCGAGGAGACGGCTCCGGCTTCCCAGCCAAAATCAGCCTGTAAATAGTGTTTCTGCTGTTGGATTAATTTCTGAGATTAATCAGTGTCTCGGTTGTTCCAGGGGGAACATGTCCTATTTAATAACGGCAGAAGGAAACCACCACGTTGTCCATCTGATGCAGGCAAAGTAAGGCTCTTCCCCAGTTTTCCTTCCTCTGTTATTTTTTGCACAGGGCCATTACGGGGAATTAATGGACCTGCACCAAAGAGCTCCGCTTTGCTTTTCAGAAATTTGATAGCCAAAGACATCCCCGTTTTCACATACAGTGCAGAGGGAGACCTGATAACCGAGTTTCCATATATTCAGGTAAGTTTAGATGTCTGTCAAGGATGCATCGAGAGCCAGAACTAAATGACCTTCCTCCTCCTCCTCGCAGGCTCATTTGAATATATCAGCGGATCTAAGCAAGGGATGGCTTTCTGTTTCTAAGAAAATCCTTCATTTTTACACCATTTGTTCAAAAAAAAAGGAAGGAAATTGTACAGAGACCGATAAAAACTGGAAAAACAACTTCAGATTGATCTGCACGCTTGATTTCCCTTTCCAATTTTTAAAGTTTTTGAAATAATTTTACTCCATCAAAAGAAAAATTGAGAATTCACATAATACCCCCGTGAAAATTCATCATTATCCAATGATGAGTTAGCACACTTGATTTCCCTTTCAAATTTTTAAAGTTTTTAAAATAATTTTACTCTATCAAAAGAAAAATCTAGAATTCATGTAATACCCCCCTGAAAATTCATCATTATCCAATGATGAGTTCTCAGGCTCCTGCCTTTTCCCTCCTTCCCTTCTACACTTTCACTTCTTTTTTTGCATGTGAAATACCCCTTTCAAAGTGGTAAAGGATGGGCTTGGGGAGGTTTTATGTGTCCCTTCACTGATGCAGGTTTTTCTTGATCTGGGCACGGGAGATTTTCCCGCAGCCTGAAGCCACATTTCCACCTTGCAGGATGACTGGTGCTAGGAGGGGGTTGTGGAAGGCTCCCCGGGATCCATCGTCTCCCTCAGCACGTGCTTCGGGATCAGGTGGGGCTCTTCCCAGGGGAGAACAGGGGGTTCGATATCAAGCGAACTGGGATGGGGATTTACCTCCCTTTTTAAAGCAGGCGCCCTCATTTCTGTGTGCGATGCTTTCTGCTGCATCTCGCTACTAAAATTCAAATCTTCAAACACAGCTGAGATCTTATTTTTTAGCATTACAGACTTTACAGCATCTCCAGTGTAGATTTTAAAGGCAGATAATTCATAGAAAAACAGCTTTAAATTAAATTTTTGGCCAAACAATGTGCTTTATATTCTTCTGGCAGCCTGTCAGCAGGTAGCAGGTTTGACATGTCAAGACAGTTCAAAGACTTACTTTAAAAGACAGTAAAATAAACAAGCACTTCTCGAGAAACTTTCCTCTTCAGGTGCACTCCAGGCGCGATGCACAGGGCTGCCCCGCATCTCCAGCCACGCCACGATGAGCACCTTGCACCTTGCTTATTTTTGTGTTTACTAAATGATTTAAGAAGTCATTTAGTTCACATCTCTTACTGACTTCTCTGTTTGAAAATTCGCAGTGGAGTTTTGCAAACTGGAGATCTGAGGTACGAAATTGAGCCCGTGGAGAACTCCTCAACGTTTCAACACCTCATTTACCGAAGGGTGTTGGAAGGTAGCTCACGTCGGCTGTGCCAAGTGCCCGAAGAGCACAAGGACCATCTGGCTGAAGATGGAGAACTTGCAAACGGGAGTCGTAAAATCCTTGTTATCGAAGTAAGGACTCCCCACCCATCATGTTATTGTTGCTCATTCAGGTGTATACGTACAGCTTATGTTAAATGCTGGGAGTGATCTGACCATAGGGGAAATTCCTGCT